AGAAACGAGAAACTGCCAGGTTGTCGGACGTATGCTGTGGACCACAATGGAGACACTATTACTGATTGAAATCCTTTTTTGATGAAATCAGGAGTTTTTGTAAAGATTAAAGAGTAAAGTAAAGAAAAAGAGTAAAGTAAGAGTAAAATAAAGAGTAAAGACGAAATTTATTCGAACCTTTTGCTCTACTTAATACAACTGTACTGCGTTTGTCATCGCATGAGCACAATATCTGGCTTGTTTCACCCTGAATTCCCGCTCCCCCCTCCACCAAAGTCTTCCCTGACTTCAGCACAGCATTAGCTGCTCCTAATGCTTCCACTTATTCCTACGGATACCTGCTTTCAGGTTGCCCTCCACAATACACAGCGTTACTACCATTTGGTTCACCTACACCCCTTCCAGAATTTTCACAGGTTTCTCGTAATGCTCTAGCTCCGAACTCCTTTCATTTATCATCAGCACTCAAACGCACTATGACGGCTCACGCAGAAGAACAGAAAGAGAGGAATAGCCGAGTTTACTTGTGCTTAGTGACGGTTCTTAGCTGAAAGAATATAGCTGTTGCCTAGGTCCCAGGAGGGGAGGAGCAAGGGGGCTAACGAGATGATCATCAGGGCAAAAAGGTTCAAACAGGTTTTCAGGTTGAGGATCAAACATCCAGTTGGCTCACCCCATCTCTGTCCTTCCCTTCTGAGTCATACTCAAAAAACTACACTCTGGACCAGGGGCCGCCCTTCACCACAATAATAGGCTCGTGAAGTCGGCTACCCTGTTACTCCGCGCTCAATGTTGGTATAAACCGGCCCTCTCCCCACGAGGGGCGTTCCATTCGTGTGATTCTGGGTGCGCGCGGCAAAATTCGCGATGATTCAAACAACTCTGACGCCTATCATTGTGGCACACTATGAAGTAGAGTACTTTAATAGGGTCGAACAATCCTACAAACCTACTTTACTTGAAATTTCGGCCCCAATGTTAACGCTGCAGCCGTCCAAATCGCACCGAAAGTTGCCGCACAATTTGCGCACCCAGAATCGCACGAATCGCCACACACCCCTCTCCCCACAGACAAGTAAGTTAGGTGCAATGAAAACAACTTATATCGCTTTCTATCAGAAGTCAGACCGCGACAAACTTGTTGTTGTCGTAAAAATTCCATCCCTCCTGCTCCATCACCAAGCCCTGCGGAAACTTCTCTCCATCGTGAGGAGTGAGGAGGCAACTGGCTGATTGAGACGTGTGTGCCATATGCGACATTATTTGCAATGGAAGAGCTCGGTCACCTATTCGAATATGACTGGCGGCTACTCGGGTGAATTATCGATGACATAATGTAGTAAAGGAGTAAGGGTGTAGGAAGCGATGAAAGTCTCATGTCTATGTCTCAGAAGCTTCCCATTTACCTAGGGCCGTGTGTCCAGTCCATGGAAACGAAAACTGAACATGAATCTGAATTCATATTGTGGTCTCACCACAGCTCTGTTATTATTACACTACGCAACTACTACGTGTTACATGGGTGGTGATTTGTCAGCAAAACCTCGGCTCCGGACGGGACTCGAACCCGTATTTCTGCTTTCCGCACCGTGCTCTATCCCGGGGTCTCGATAGTGTAAGGAATAGAGCATGGTGCCCAGTTATCACAAGTACGGGTTCGACTCCCGCCCGAAGTTTTGCCCACAAATTGACATCCTTGTGAGACTTGCGGCGATAAAACAACAGCTAACAAAACATCAAGTCGAATTAAATATTTCGTGTTATCCTACTTTATATAATTCGCTAAGTGTGTCTGTTGGTGTGTCGGTGTGTTTGTGTGTGTGCGTGTCGCTGTGTGTCTGACCGGAAATTCATAACACCTGTCCCCGTAGACCTAGAGCGTTCAAACTTGATAGGTGTACGGGGGGCAGGACGGGAACACTTATGGTTGATGGCAGGACCGGACTCCGCTCACAGGGGCGGGGCGTGCGCGTTAGAAATTTTGAGCCGCAAATTCATAACTCCTGTCCCCGTGGACCTAGAACATTCAAATTTGGTAGGAGTACGGGCGACAGGACGGGAACACTTATGGTGGGTGGCAGGACCGGACTCCGTGCACAGGGGTGGGGAGGGGAGGGGGGTGCGCCCAAATAGTCAATTTTGCCCTAGGGCATTCAAGCTTGGCGGGAGTACAGGCGGCAGGATGGGAACATTTATTGCAGTGGGGAGGACGGGACTCCACTCATAGAAGGCGAGGTTTGCGCTAAAATTCCCAGTTTGGCTCGAAGGCGTTCAAACTTGGGAGGAGGCAGGTGGCAGTATGGGAACACTTATGGTGAGTAGTAGAGCCGGACTCCGCCTCCAAGGGACGGGGTGTCCGCGAAACAAATCAATGGAAATCCATAACTCCTGACCCCGTGGACTTGGAGAGCAATCAATAGGAGGGGCAGGATGAGGACACTTCTATAAGACTTTTAAAACCTGCTACCATGGAGTTAAATAAGTTTTTATCAACTTACGTTTAGGCGTAATCGCCTTATTCAGAGTCTGGAAACCTGTGTGTATTATCACTATCCATCCATTCAACAATTGAACTTCTAAAAAACCGGTTCCCTAGACTTAATGTCTCCAAAAAGGCGTGATAACCTTTAACATATTTAACCCACCTCAAGGAACAACCGGTCGTTTGGACGACCGCCGCTAAACTGACCCATAAGGACTTGGGGTAGCTTTAGATGATATGCCCTATCCCTTTTGCCGTGATACCGGCGGCAAACGAAACCCACAGAGGTCAGAGAAAGGCGCGAGTTCATCAGCTATGGCCAGGCACCTCTCCTCCCTATTCGTTTTTGGGGACTTGGCGCTGATGAAAAAGGCCTCAAGTGTCTTTCGCGCCGAAGTGAGTGGTTACCGCAATAGGATCCCAACTGTAATTCTAAACACCGCACCTTCATGGGACTCGGGTCTCCACCCATGCTCGATTCAAGCCCTCCAGATGTTCCCTAACCCTAACGCACAGGGGTGGTCATTGTCTCTCCAATATGTTCATCCTCACATAGATTGCATGTGATCAGGTAAACCACGCCATAGCTCTTTCAAAGAAAAAAGAGAACCCGATGTGTTATTTACGTATAGCAAATTTCTCGCAGAAAGGAGCGCCCGGCATAGCCGGGCGAATCCATAAGGAGGGAAGCCCGGCGTTAGCCGGGCGGCCCGACTGGTTTTAAAATACATGCAATATGTTTTAATTCAAATAAAAATAAAAATATCAAGTGTTCTTTTGAATAACGCGAATAGTAGGGCAGTCAAACAGTGGCAGGAATACTTGAAGGATTTGGTTCTGACTGAACCATCGCTATTTGTGGTAGCTCCCGCCGTAACGTTTCTTATTTCAACATGTCATCCAACTTTTTCACATAAATCGCCTTCCTACTCGACTAGGAGCACGAACGCTACATTGAATAAACAATATCATGAACAGAATGAATAAAAAACAATTCAAAAAAAATCTCAGTTTTTTCAACAATGAGACTTCTTGCACATGTTGTTAAAAATCAGCAATATTTGCAAAACAAATTTCGGGGGTCTATTTTGTGTTTTTTACAATCTTTTGCAATGATAACATTCGAGTTATTAGCTGGTCTACGGAGGTAGAACAACACATACATATGATTGAAATAAAATCCAACAAATATTTAACAATGTTAAAACTAACACCACCGGGGTAAAACATTCAAAAATATAAGATTTTTTATGGCTTCCGCAAGTCAATAAAAAGCTGTCCTTAATGAGAGCAATCAAATTTAAATTTGAAAGGAAAGCAGTCAGTTAAAGTAGTGAGGCTCATTTATACAAAAAAAAAATTCGGCGGCGAGATCGGCAGGCTGAATTTGATTCGTCTACGTTGGACTCAGTTTCTTCACTAAATCTTCGGCAGTTGAGATGCGGACCTAAACAACAACTATGTATGTTCTGACCGTTTTACACATTGACGGGCTTGTATTATTGGCCTTTTTCCTTCGGAATAAATACACTTATCCTAGACCCATCCATATCCTAGAAATAAAAAGAAACTCACTGATGTTCAAAAGAAGTAGCGTGCTCACGGAAGCACACCTATTCAAATTAGACCCCCCCCCCCCGCTTCCATGATGTCACAAATCCGAGAATAGAAATCGATTTCAGTCTCCACGGATGTCACAACTCCGAGAATAGAAATCGATTTCAGTCTCATTAAAAGAATTGGCTAACCTGTCTTCCCTTAAGACATGTAACTACATCATCCAATATTTCTGAAGGAATGTCCTTCGGGTCCACGGATGCGAGAACGTAATCGCTGGAAATATAAGAGTTGTATTAGAAAAAAGACAGGCATTTCAAATTTTCGGACATAAATCAGAATTAACTAGTATAAATCATAATAAATAGTAAAAAGGTAACTGTCGAATAGCCAACGTGCATGAGAGATTCTCTTCATTCTCTAATATTCTTCTACGCTGATAGAGTATCAGATTTATCACGAAAGTTGTGATGATCAATCTCAAGCACCTTCACTCACCCTATGTACTCCAGTTCAGCACCACAATCAGATGGAAAACTTCGAAGGACATATAGAAAATTCGACATTATATCCACAGTTAATCGCTTCGCATGAGAGGCTGAAAGTGTTTGAATAAGATGAAAAAGATAAAATAAAAGTCACGACAGGTCACTCTTGTGGCTGTCATACTTTTAAGCAAGTTCAGTGCCCATTCCCAGTTGGAAGTTAAAAACATTGATTGAAACATACGAGAATCTTCTAGGGTGTAGGCGATACTTGTCATCACTCGGGCTGACTTTCCTGCTAGCTTCCCATTCCTCGCTTTGCGAACTATATTCGACAGTATACGTGGTCCATCGTTCTCACAAAACACCCTGAAAACCAATGCGGATAAAGCCACAGCTCATTGAGGAAAGAAATCAAATGAAGCTGCATCCATATAATCGTAAAAAACACATTCGTTGCATTCACACTACCAACGCCGAACGCCGGAGTCGGCATTGACATTGAAAGTCGTCTGTTCTTTGTTACAATGAAAAATCAAACTCACTCAAACGACTCGAGATGTGAGCGAACTGAACCAGATATCGAGCTGAGGAGTTTGAAGAGGAACTCCTGGAATCAAATTGCAACCGGCATGGAGATATATCAGGTGACTCCCAAAAATTGAAGTAGCCCGAAGAAATCTCAAACCTCGCTGTATGAGTCATCTTCTAGTAGCTTCAACATCTTCACGAGCAGGCCTTCCCTTGTAAATAATGATTGCGTGGACGGGTTATTCTCCGTGAGGCTGAGCACCAGCTCAGCAAAGCGACATTGCAAAAACAAGTGATGACGCTGAGCCTGAAAATCGGAATAATGTTAAAAAACATCCTTTTTCTGAGAGATATATTTTAGGTATGCCATTGAACTCTCTGTAGCTTGTCGAAAAACGCTACCTAAAATGTTCCTCGGTATTCTAAAGGGAATTGGTTAACTTCAATCCCGATCAGAAAGCAGATTTGACAGAGAATAAAAATCAAAAGAAAAGCAGTTGAAGGGCAAACAAAAATTGAAAGCTTACCAAGAAAGTTTCGATGACAAGTAAACCTCCTTTGCCAACAAAGCGATTCGTAATCTCAGCATACCCGAGAATGTCTTCCAAGTGATCTGTCAGTTCCTTTGAAGAATTTATATCATACTAAAATCCGAAAGTTCAGGGGAACGATGGACAACCTCTATTTTTCCGAGATCAGTTTCGTTGAGATCAGCTGGGCTTGACGCATAAGAGTGCAGGCTTTGCAAAATTGCATCCATTTGACGACCTGGATCGGCTTCTTTAACCAGATCCTTCATCACTGCCTCGAGCCATTTGCGATTCGAAAATGAGGATTTTTGAACCAAAAAAATTCATTTCGTAAGAAAAATACTACATAAAATTCCCCCGCATACGAGCTATTAGGACAGGAGAAAATAAGGCGCGGAATCCAAGAACCCGACACTATTTCGCTAGTTCTACCCACGATTATAACAGTGACCTATTCCTGTAATGATTCGCTTTGCTACTACGACTCTCAATCTGCCGATTATAAATAGGCTTCTGACTTTAGCTGTTTTTTTCATAGCACCATTATTTCCACGACGCTTCCTCGGGCCTTCTAAGCCTTCTAAATTACAAGAAGGAAAACTTTTTTCGAAGGACTATATTCTTAAAGAAAGGTTGACTAGAGTCAATACCCACGCTTTGAAGATTGTCGACTTTTCGAGTTTTTATACCCACTTTATAAGATCATACTGTACTACAGGGGAAGCAATTGAATTACACGTTCTTGTTAATTATGACCTGTCATACCTCATCGCTCATTGGTCTAGGTGTAACATCACGCTTCTCCGATTCGGCGCTTGCCTTCGTAGTGAGTGCTAGTAAGCTGTTCCAGTACTGTTGAGGTACGTCTTCGTTGGCCATCCTTCACACCACCACTGGACTTGCAAGTTTGACCAGTTTGAGATAAAACTTCACTGAAAACGCCTGCCACTATTTCAATAATCTTAACGTTACCTCCGTCAAAATAAGTCAGAGCTAACCGACAACAGAAAATGTACTAACTGTAACTCCCTATTCAATCCGAAATAATGATTCTAAGGTAAAGATGGAAGTCCTATGTTGAGAACAATAGATAACATTACTCATTACGTCGCAGCCTTTGTGCCAACGTTCCAAAAAAGCGCGAATCATGTTCTCGACCGATTTTTGGAATGCGAATAAATTTATCGGATTATTCCCTCTGATGCGACATTGCTTTTCAATGAGTTCAAGAAGCACCCCATCTAGGAAGTCTAGGTCGCGGTCTGGACTTTGCAACTTCTCTTGTCAGTGAAAGTAGTTTTTCTGCTTCGAATACCTGTCTACAACCTCTTCCTTCTAGAAATCCTCGAAATGACTGTCCTCAAGACCAGTTTGCATACATGGGTCAGAATACATTAATAGACTCTAACTCAATATTGATAAGACTGAAATTTCAAAAGGAGGTCGGATTGCGGTTCCATGAATAGTGCGAGAAAGTGAAATAGCGCCTGAAGTCAATGCGAAGCCCATTTAATCCACTGAACTTCTGAATTTCGTTTAATGATTTTTGTAGGCTGACGGTAGAAGAACGATCTGGCAGCCAAAAGACAAAAGCGATTACAGGTGGCTCACAAAAGTTCACGAAAAAGACCACGCGCCCTCCAAAGATGGTTAAGTCGAACTTATAGTAATACGACACGACACAACCATCACAACCTTGAAATGCGCCTAATTCCCCACCCCCCATTTTTCGATTTTTGAAACTTTCTACATTTTCTCTCCTAAAGACGGCGACACGGTCATAGAACATTATGCAATGCTCGCTTTCTCACCATTCTCCTTCTGACCGTCCCTTACGTGGCAATTGAAGAAGCTAATTTCTCGTTCCGACCTCAGTTACTAATAGGATGTAGTGGGAAGCGGAAAACGAGTGAACCGCGCAGGTAGAAGAGGTTACTCAACCCGTACCTAGTAGCTTAGTAGCGGACCTCACGCCTAAACAGTTGAGGAAATCGTTGGGTATATAGTGCATGTAGAAATCGTACCGTTCAACATTTGCTAGATCTTCGAGTCTGATACGATAAGTATTTCCATAATAGCAATCTTTACACATGCTAGAGGAACAGAATTCATAATAGAAAACCGCTGTGGTGGAATTAGCCAAATTCGTGGAAAGAGTAGTACCAATTTCTAAACATTTTATCAAGAACCACAACTTCACAGATGAACTTGTTCAGACTATATAAACACCACTACTATTAGCAGAATAGTGCAAAATATATGGAGAACATCGAATGTAAAATCTGGCTGGAAACAGAAGGAGCGATTGTTAACAAATTTCAAGCACGGAAGCATCGTGTAAGAACAATGGTATTATGCTCCACAAGTTATCCAGCAGTCGCACACTTATATCAAATCCAAAAACGAGTGAAATCAAATCCTGCAATAATGATCGAGTCACCAGGCAGGGTGAGAGTTGTAAGGAAACAAAATTAGAGTATGGCAATATTTCAAAAAAAAAAAAAAATAGAAAAATTGGAGAACCACCGATGGTGACCAGATCAGC